TTCCCCCCCCTCTCCCGCCCTCACCTTGGAGACCGAGGAGGGACGTGAGCCAAGACCCCTCCTTCCCTCCCCTCCCTCCCTCCCTCCTTCTTCCCCCCCTCTCCCGCCCTCACCTTGGTGCAGAATCTTGGTGGCTTTCCCTCCCACTCCTCTCTCCGACCCCGACCCATTCCTCGTCTTTTCCCCCCCTCCTCCTCCACCTCCTCTTGCGTCCCCCCTTCCCCGCCCTTCGTTCCACGCAGTGCCGTCCCCACGACCGCTGTCACCGCTGTTCCTCCTCACACCGACATTTCCCCCTATGTCACCCGGAAGCTGCCTTCGTACCCCTCGGGACCTCGCCACTCCTCCCTGCCCGCCCCACCCTCGCACCGACCCTCCCCCTCGCCCCCCCCATGCTGCACCCCCTTCGATCCCTCCCCCTCCCACCCCGGGGCCTCCTCCCAGCGGGCTGAAGGGCGTCTGCGCTCGCTTCGGGAAACTCCGCGTTAGAAAGCCGCGGGACCCTGGCAGTGGTGGCGGCCGGAGCCGACGTGAACTTGATAATCGTGTGTCAATTAAAGCCGTACCCTTCACGTTGTCAGTTAGATATTGTGCTGGAGTGGCCCTGGGGTTAAGAGCAGCGGGGGGGGCACGGGAGGGAGGCAGGGCCGAGAGGGAGGAAAAAGATTTTGACACATGATGCCCGCAGTGTAAAGAGGCAGAAGCACTTGCGCCCATGACCATAACCAGCGTCCTAGCAGTCGATATATCTTGACGGATGCATTCATACAGAGGGCTGTTATAGAGGTAGGAAGCAATGTGATCGACGGATGAGATGGAACGCAAAGGAGAAGCGAGAGGGATAATTCTCCCGCAGCCTGCGCTTTTTTTCCCCGCACTGTGTATTTACCGCCGACATCTTTGGAACTCATTGTTTGTTAATAATTTTTCACACCCTATCTCCCTCCCCTTTTTGAGTGTGCAGATATACGAGGCAAGGAAGAGGCCTTTCATGCCGCTTCAGAGCTCCTCGTGCCCCCTCCCACGTTATCCGCCACAGTTACTCCACTTTTCAACCTTACCTCTTCAAAACCCGCTTTCCGTTAAACATGCTGCCGGCACGCTTGACTCCCAAGCGACCTGTCGTCGGAAAAGCGGGCGGATCAGAGGATGCAGTGGGCCCAAGGCAAAGTAAAGTTGTAAACCGGACATGTGTGAGGTAGCTGGCGCCTAACCTCCGGGTACCTTGCGGAGGACTCGAAAGAGGGCTGGATGCCACCACTTGGATCGTTCGCAGGCTTTTCGCTTTCCTTGACCACAAGTGTCAACGGACACGTTTTTCTCTTCCTCGAGACGAACGCTGGGTATGCATACCTTAGGAGATTTTGCACGTCGGGGCCCCGATTGTTATGCATTTTCCTCCAGCTGTGCCTGAAGACGCAGCATAAACAAGGTTCGCCTTGTACAAAGCGACACGAAAAGACATGAGATGGGATTTTAATTGACCTACATGTTATCTAGCATGTGACGTAGAATGCCAAGTAGAGCCCAATGCCACCAAATGTGAACTGAGATCATGAAGGGCACGCTCAATGGCACTATGCCCACCAACCGAAATAATATCAGTAAGATGAGATCTCGCTGCCATGATTGGTCTTTCAGGTGTCATTCGAAGGAGTTTGAATAAAAGCGATAGAGGCGACGAATTGCTTGAACCTGACACAAGGGAAAGAGACCTCCCTGCAGATTGAGGTCCTTTTGTATCATGCTCTTCTACTTTATATTTCCTGGAAAAATAAATCTTGAATCCAGCGGTGCAAAAGAAAAGGGGTGACAATCTCTGCAGTACATACCCTGTACAGTGATAATCCCTACCTAAATCATCGTTTATTTTTATGTGTATGTTAATTATCTTCATATATTTACATATTTTTTTGTATCCTTCTCTCTCTTTATCACCCTTGCGGACCGCCATAAACGACAGAGATCTTGTCTGCTTAAACTTTCTAAATGAAAAGCTATAAGTGATTCAGTCGTGTGTCTTAAATGCTCTGAAGTGATGGTGGTATGAAGAGGAGTCTACGCGACACAATTTGTAGCCGCTTTCCTCGTTTCATTTTTTTCTTCATGGATGCATCAGCTAATTTTTCAACTATGACTGCTAGCTCCCCCCCCAACGTAAGTAAAAGAATATCCAGAAAGCATTGCTGGAGGAGAAAAAGGGGGGGTTGGGGAAGAAGAAAGTAAAGTACACAACTTGGCTCACATCGAGGCAGAAGAAAGCGAAGGGATGAGTGTGGATTGGATTATTAATAATCTTCAATTTTCCGCTTCCTTTCTTTTTAAAACCATATCACTGTAGAAAAGACCGATGCTCACATCTGCCAGCCCCCGATACTTGATTACAACGGTGGGGCTAAAATGTTGAAGCAATCAAAGGATAAAAAGCCGTGCCCTGAGCACCTTTGATCTGCCTCTGATAGCGAGCGCTGCGGCTAAGCGCCATTAAACTGGAAAATATATTACTATTCCCCATCTTCTAGCTCGGTATATTGTTATCTTATCTCGAATCACGGTTCAGCTTACAAAGCTAGGAAGAACCTTTTTTGTACAAAGATTGCGTCCTATTGGAGTGGATGGGTACAAGTAACGACAAATACGAAATCCAAATTGTTACCTTTCAATTTTAACCTCTAGACTCATATGCAATAATTATGGAATTGTAGATGTTATAGTTTCACAAAGCATCAACAAGAGGAAAGAAAAAGATTAGAGGGAAGGGGAGGTTCAACTTAATGCGTCACGGTTAATCCGCTTTACCATCCCCTTAATGTAAGTCTCTGTCCATGGCAAGGATGCGGGCACGGTTGCCTAGGAAAGTACCATTGCTTCCAACCGCTATAAAACCATGTTGACACTGCAAATCTTACGTTGATATCCTGTGAGATTCGTGAACTGGAACGTGTGACATCAGACAGCAACTACTCACCGAGCTCCGCGGATCACATCACAATCGGATCCTATATCTTATTCTTCCCATCTGCTTCCTGTATACATCTCCAAAATTGTACTCCATAAGTGCAGAAAAGCAGTGCGAGCCTGAGCTGGAGCATGGCCGCAAATGCGGTCTCGTAACTGCCACAAGTGTTGAGAAAGATTTCACGTCCGCAAAGTGGCACGTTCTTGTGCAAAAGCAGCCATTTACAAAGCAATTGAGCATTAGGCACATAATAAGCAAGCAATATAAATAAGTACGAAAGGCGTGAATGGGTTCTCCTCCACGCGGTCCGGTTATTCCTGCGGGGCAAGGCGGACTCGCTTTGCGCGTTGTTGTATCAATCTGGGGGTACACCTCGATGGTGATCAGCTTTATTTTCTCCTGGATGCTGCAGGTAGGGGTCCAAAGAATTTGGAGTGGGGTAACAGACATAATGAGGGGTTAATAGAGGCAAATCCTCATCACAAATGCGAAATCAGTACTTCACAACCTTCTAAGTGTTTACAGTCTTCTTCCCTCGCCTCATGCCTTTTCATACTCATGTCATACTCCCTCTCTTGGCGCCCTTCTCCTATCCCTGGGACCTCTACCGTCCTTCCCCATTAGATCCTGGCCTGTATATTCATCTGTCCCTTCCTTCCTTCCTGCAAAGAGCGTCTCCTCTTGCTCGGTTGGATTTTCCGTTCGGTGTCTTCGCTTGTCATCCGTCTAAACCCCTACTGGCACCTACGCGTGCTGGGACCACGCCCGACACGCCCTCCCTCCAAGACCTTGATCATGTGCAACCACCTATCCAATGCAGACGCCTTCTTCCTCTCCTCGGCCCTTTTGCCTTGGGAAACCAAGTATATCGCCAAGGCGTCGCTCTTTCAGGTGCGGGGGTCAGGAGGGTTGGGGATAGGGAGGAGGATCCCTCAGTCAGACGACCTTTACTGCGTGAGGTAGATTCTTAGTTGCCTGACTTTCGCTACATCCATTGGAGGGGCGCGTGGCTGCTGCATGCTGGCTGCCCGCGGGGCACTCAAGTTCCTTACCCGACTTTAAAACCAGCGTTCTGTTGAAAACGTCGACTTCCTTTACATTTGCCGTATTTTCCTCCCCCCCCTCTTTCTCCCTCATCCTCCCTCCCTCCCTCCCTCCCTCCCTCCCTCCCTCCCCCAGGTGCCCTTCGGCGGATGGGCCATGGGCTTGGCCGGCGACCTCCCTGTTCACTTTACGCGAGACTGCCACGGCTGGGGTGTCGTCAAGGGAACCGTACGTGCCCTTGTCCGCTTGTCACGCCCGTTCTTACCTCTCGTCCTAGCTCTCTCTTTCCCCCCCTTTGTCCTTCTTGGCCTTTTCTTGAACCCCTGTCTTCCGCAGATCTCCCTCCCTCTCGCCTCACATCAAAGCTCGGAAGCGCCTTGTGACATATTTTCTCTTTCGCCCGACCTCCTTTCTTTCCCTTTCATGCAGGTGGGCAAACTCATGGAGCAATGCAAAGTCTACATATCGGAGGGCATGTCTCTGACAGTCTTCCCGGAGGGAGGACGCTCAGAGAATGGCCATCTACGCCCTTTTAAAGACGGGTTCTTCCAACTCGCGCTCGAAACACAGGCCGAAATCCTTCCCTGCGCCTTGTCCGGTTCGTTTTTATTTCGTTCCGAAAGCTTCCGAAAGTTTTATGCATGTCTGCCTTCTCTCTCTTTCCCCTCCCGCCTTTCTTCCCGCCTCTCCATTACCTTCCTTCCATTCTCCCCTTGCACCTTTCGTTTCCCGCGCTGATTTTCCCCGCTTCTTTTTCTCTCCCTCCCTCCCTCCCTCCCTCCCTCCCCTGCCTCCCTCCCTCCCTCCATCCTTCCCTCGTTCAGGCTCCGAACAGGCGTGGCCTATCTATGAGCTCCTCCAAGGCCCAGCCACGGTCTATGTGCGGATCGGAACGGCCATCCCCAGCGCCGGCCACTCCCTGGAAAGCCTCAAAGGCGCCGTCCGGGCGCACATACAAGCGTTACAAAGAGACTTACCCTTGCCCCGAACGCTTCCTCTAGGCGAAAGGATAGGAGGCACAGGAAAATGGGAGGGAGATCGGGAGGGCCGGAAGGGGGAAGCGGTGGTCAACAAGCTTGGGAGTGGGCAGAGGGCGCAGGCACTTCCTCAATGAGCCTTAGGATGAGAGACGTAAGGTAAACGAGACAAGCAATCGCACCGAGAGGGAAAAGATGTAGATGAAAACAAAGGAGGAAGGCCCAGGAGAGGAAGGTAGGGCAACGGACCAGAGAGGAGAACCGCCCGAAATAGCGGACGAACAGGACGAGGAAAAAACACGGGCATGAGTTTCAAAAGCAGGTCACAGAAGTTCTCCCTGCGCCAATGAAATGTGTAGAGAGAGCATGAATTTGCTACGTGACGTCTAGAGTTATCCATGATGGTCTCGAAATAAGGAGGGAAAGGGCATAGGAAGGGGAAGGCAGCTCAAAGTTTACGACGCTGAAGGGGAGGAACCAGGAAAAAAAAAAAGACACAATGTGAAGCACTGCTGATATACTGATAAAGTCGTATTCCAATACGCACTGAATGATGAGTAAAAAAAGCAATTATGCCAGTAAAATGATCAAAATATGTCATTCACTTGTTTTTGCACGGGGATCTCCCCCCAAAACGTAGTTCCATCTTGTCCTTGCTTTGCATGACAGAGCCCTAGCACCAGCCTGTCACTCCTTTCACTTTCCACCGCCATTGTTTTAGCTTCTTTACTCGTTATCTTCTCAGTATAATATTGTGGGAGGGAAGATCTAAATGTTCAGAAAATGGCTTCCTGCCCCATGAGTAGCCCTGTGATGCAGTGTTTTCAAAAGTTCGTAACGGCTACTCAGGTTGATGTACTGGACGACATTCATTTCTATAAGTAAGCGAGACATCATTCATACGCCCCTCCATGATAGAGATATGACATCAATACGGTACAATGTCCATATACAGTCTCGAGACGTGCCTTTACTTTCACGCGTCGGGTCGTACATCACGAAACCCGACCTTCAAGAAGGCAACGTCCCGAAAGAATGGGCCAAGGACAACAGGTTCATGCCTGTGTTTACTTGCAAAAGAAGCGAACACTCCCGTCCATAGCCTCAGTGACGACTGAATTGAATCCTAATGTATCAATGCATAACGCTCTCAATGTCGGAATCACGTCCTGCGACTGACAAAATGCACATACTACCGCAGGCGCGCTTACAAAGAAAATTTCAGGGAGGAAGCTTTGGTGGACCTCATCGAACATTCATATGCAGTGTTAAGAAGCTCAAGAAAGTGTGAGGGTGACGCATGATGAAGCTTGGATTGCTAACTTATAAGCACCATGGCATGTACGCGTGTTCACGTCGTCGCCCGCCTTCCATGCTCCTCAAAATACTAAGTGTTATCCTGCTACTAGCCTCGCTGACATCACTTCAGGATGTAATGATGCGTCAGCTTGTCATGGAGACGACATCATCCAGTCATATGGTCGAGCGTAATAAGAGTCTTTTCTATGTTACTACCCACCTTTCCCCATCGCACTATCAATATTTGGAGAAATGCTGGCCGTCCCTTCTAGCCAAGAGCCAAGCATACAGGCAATCAGATTTTGTGATCTTCATTACCAAGTCAAACGGCAGCATGATCGATTGGAATGTGATAAATGCAACATTTGCCGGTACGAAGGTCACCGTGCATGTCGTGGATAATCCGGGATATCAGGAGGGAGCCATGTTGGCCATGACCGAGGCATACAGGAACCACTGGTTCGATGGTTATGAGTGGGTAATACGTGTCAACCCCGACGTATTGATCCGAAACGACACATTTTTATTGGAACGCATGCGGGATCCGGGCATCGAGGGCATATTTGCGGACTGTCTTGACAAACCTTGCCCCACCGGCAAGAATTGCTCGGATCGACTCATTCACACGGATTTCTTCGCCATTCGACCGGATGCGGTCTCTCTCGAAGCCATCCTGGACGCAGATGAGAAAGAGCCGGGCGCTGAGCCTATGGCCCGGCGCGCGTTTTCCAGTATAGTGTGGAATGGAAGGGATAGCTGGGTTCCAAATGCAGGACCTCACATGGGACAGTGCCGTATCGCGGGCGCCTTGTCTCCAGTAATACATCCTCACGAACAAAGCGAAGGTTATTCACAATGCCTATCTTGGTACGATTCTTGAAAACAAACACTCAAACCCAATCCACGTATCCCCTTGAGCCCCCGCGGATTAACATCTAGATAGACAAGGGGCATGTGGAGCCTTTTGAGAAGCTGGGTGTACATTTTATCGCTGGGAAGCAATTCTCGCGCACGAGTAGCACCCACACAGTTGCCGAGGGTGGAAAAAAAGTATTCAAAGAGAAGGCAGTCGGTACCCAGTGTGGGGTGGATGTCCCACTCACGATCAGTGAAACGTACTGGTACGGGGGGGCAATCAAAGCACGAAAAAATGATGTGCCAGTCCGCGCAACGGGACCCGAGTCCAATACAGCCTGTCCAAAGGAGGTGTGGAGCGCTTTGGCATGCAAAAAGAAGGGAAGCCTGCAACTCCGAGGCCATGACGCTGAAAAAAGCAAACCAGGAAAAGAAAATTTTGGGGCGCTCCTTAACAACATATTGTGATACGCTCCAATAAGGAAAAAAATCACACACGTAAGAGCGTTAGTACGGGTCTCAATCTGATTCCAGTTTATTCCTGTCCTTGCTTTGTACACAGCTTCAATTAATACCAGCCTGGTCTCTCTTTCAAGTCCCACACCGGTGTTGCGTCTTCCTCCTCGTCCTCTCTGCCCGCTCTCCGCTGCGTCCAGCACGGTTGAATGGGGGGACGTTTCAGTTTGGCCTCAATTTTCCGTGCAATGTCAGGGTCTTTCTTGATCTGGTGTGGATTGGCATTCGGAAAGAAGGGAAAAAAAATGGAGTTCGTGTCGATGTTTGGAGCTCAATTGTCAAATTCAGCTTTGAACAGGAGCACGAGACCGGATGGTAGCTTCCATATTCCACCAATAGCTACTCCTGACACTGGCCCTCCGCGCTCCCCATCTTCTCTCGCGAATCCTCCAGCCCATCTCTCGTTTTTCCATTCTTGCAATTACTTTGATCCTACCTTGTTGGCGAGGCACATGTACAGCGCGCTCGCTTTGTCCTCGCAAGCATCGAAGTCTCCGGAGATATAATACTCTTTCGCTTGGTAGACAGGCGACAGGCAGAACCACAAAGAGTCAAAAATGTATGTGCAGGAGGTGGGGCTTGTTAGGACGCTGGTAGAAGTAGCAGAGCTGTACGAGCTGGCATGGGAAAGAACCTCGTCGTCGGGAAGGGTCGCGTTAGAGGAAGCGGAAGGCGGAGGCACGATGACAGCCGGTTTGACAACTGCAGAGGGAACTGAGCCCATCCGTCGACCTGTAACAATGTGATAATTGGTGGTGGGCATGATTGCGCGGAGGCACGGCCATATGTGTGTGTGGGACGGAAGGTGGTATCACCTTTCCCACATTTTAACCTCCCCCCCCCCTCCCAAGGCCCCGGCGTCATCGCAGCCGCTCCTCCATCCCTTCAATTTTCCTTTCCTACCGGCGCTGGTAGGTGCAAGTGTTCCACACCACCACTGATATGCGAGAGTAGAGGTCTCAATTTGTACGCTGGAGCGTCTTTTCTTGTGCTTTTCTATTTCCGTCCTTCAGTTACACCCCCGGGACTGGAATAATATGGCGACAGCACCCCGATCCACCTCTCCTACTAGTAGTACTAGAATTCTGGCTTACCCTCCCTTCTTTTCTTCTTTCCTCGACCCTTTCTGCAAAACAACAGATTTTTTTCTTCAAGATGTTGAAGACATTTCTTCTTGTTGCAGGACTCGCAAGCAGCAACGCCTTCGTCGGGCCTGCTATGACTAAGGTACCCAGACCATGAGAGAGGGGAGATCGATCCGTTCATGAATTCGAGCCTGCCCCTGGTATTTTAATCCAACCACCTGCCCCATTGGTTCTCGGTCTTCGTAGGTGGGGATCAGAGCAGAAGTCAAGTCAACAGTGACGCGGATGGCAGCGGCGGATAATGTAGACGATCCTCGTCTGCTGGTGAGAGCCGATGAGGGAGAGGGGCAGGGAGAGAGAGGGCTCAGGCTTGCCCACACCGAGCCAGGAGACCCTGTCGGCCTCCAGGATATACCGACACCTATCCAACGCAATAGTGAAACGCTGAGCACTCCGCTTCGACCGTTTCTTGGTTTCTTTCGTTTCTTCTGCGTCTTGACCCCCCCCTCCCCCCCCTGTACGCGATAGGAAATGCCAAAGTTTCGGCCCCGCCCCCGTCAATACAGGGGAAAGGCTTTTGTGGCCCGCGACAACATCGACACGGACCAGATCATTCCCGCGGAATACCTGACTTTGGTGCCCTCCAAGGTACCTGCCTTTCTCCCTCCCTCTCTCCCTCCTCCCCCCCTCCATCTCTCCGCCCTTCCCTCCCTCCCTCCTCCCCCCCTCCCCCTTTTCCCGCCAAGCAGCCTCACTAGCATCGGGCCGCACCAACACTGCCTCCCTCCCTCCTCCCTCCCCCCCTTTCCTGTCCCCAGACGGACGAGTACGAACAGCTCGGCTCCTACGCCCTGATCGGCCTGCCCCAGGCCCTCTATCCCGCCCCTTACGTGCAGCCCGGGCATACCAAGACAGAGTACCCCATCATCATCGCGGGGGACAACTTCGGTTGCGGCTCTTCGCGGGAGGTGAGGGCATGGCTTCCTTTTCCTTTTTCCTTCTTCCCCTTTCCCTCTGGGCTGCTTGGTTGTTCCCACCCGCCCTCCCTCCC